ACACAGGCCCCCTCTTCTAAAAGGAAACTGAGGTTCTAAGTGCTTGGGTTGTAGGATCACATGGCTTTGAAGGGTCAAGAGCCAGGATCGCAGGGCAGTTCTGAAAGACCCAAGAATCCTAATCCCACAGCCACATGTGACATGGCACCTTTCTGTTTGGCTAATTTCTGTGGCCACTTGTCATCCGTGATCAGCCCAGGCCGCTCTAGAGATCTCTCTGTCCCTCTATGCAGCTACTGATTTGGGGTTTCTCTCCATTCTCCCACTTCCTACCCACATCATGATGCCTCTCCACACACAACATACACACCCCAAGAGACTGCCAGTTCTCTCCAATAAGGATTTTATAAGCTTGCTCAGTAACCACTTGATGACTCAAGGAAAATATTTCCCCTTTGATCATCAAACAACACTCTGAGTTCAGTAGAATGATGGTTATTAGGACAAGTGAAGGCAATGAGATTCCCAGAGTTCAAGGTCTTATCCCAGATCACCAGGAGCTTTCAGCCTTGGGGAATGGAACCTAATATCCCTCCTTGATTCCCAGGACACATGTCTTCTTCCCACTCCTCCTGGATTCCTCTCTTCTAAGCTATATTCCAGGCAGTTAACAACAAAACATCCTTTCCAAAGAAGTCCCCCACATAGACATTATTTCAAGGGGCTCAGACAAAAGGGGGCATCTGCTTTACCACCAGAAAGGCTAGATTTTGATCATAGTAAGTGGAGACCATCAGCAAAAGTGGGGTAATTCTGGTTACCAAATACAACAGACTTCTGACCCCAAAGAAAAAGGAAACCTCATCAAGTCAAAAGCCTCCAAAAAAAGCAACCCTCACAGCTATCGACCCACTGTGAAGATGGGGCAACTTGGGAGCTCCTGAAAGTTCATGCTGATAGAGATCTGCCTGCCCTCCAAGACAAAACCCCACCACCCACAGCCGTCTAGGGTACCGCTAGCCAAGGTAACCCTTCCCCAGCCCTTTACTAGAAAGATACTAAGACCTTTATCTGATTCCTCTAAAAAAAAGAAAGCAAAATATCTGCCTGAAATAGTCAATCATCCAGAAAAACGGTAGAGGGAAATCCCCCATGACTGAGATAAAGAAGAGAAGAAATCAAGAAATGAGAACTTGGGACAGCTCAACACTTTCCACCTTGCTTTTGCTCCTCTGAGCACCACATTCAAGCACTGTGCCACCCAGAATACTTAGCGTCGTGTGTCCTGCCAAAAGCACACTGATGGGGACTTGAGCACTGCACCCTTGCTTGCTAGTCTGTGCTGGGGTGTGGGGACCCATCAGCCTGTGAATGCGGCATTTTCTGTGAATTCGGCATTTTCTGTGAATCCATGCAAAGGTACAGACAAGCACAGGCTATCCACTGCTGATGAAGGAATTTGAATGGAATTCCAGAGGTGGAAAACACATTGTGAGACAGCTACGTGTGTTCGTTTGGGTTCCTTGGAGCCAAGACCTTGAGTAAGAATTCCTGACAATGTATTAGGAAGTATTGGGGGGGGAAGGGGGGAGAGTGGCAGAGGAGTGTGAAGAAGTGAGGGAAGAAAGAGGGAAGCCAGCTAGGCAAAGACCCGCAAAGGATGCCATTGTTTCTAAATGTTCCAGTGAAGGGCCAGCAAGCTATATTCTTTCCAGCACTCATGCATTCTGGCTAGGAGATATCCAGGGCCAGGGAAGACAGAAGATTCTAGACAATCCTTGTTCTCAGCTCCCATAGCCCCAGGATCAGCTACCAGAACAGATATTGGGGGGGGGGCATGCAGTAGGGAGCAAAAACAGCCAGAACACTATGTGTGAAGATGTTCCAGTAAACCATGAAAGGACCTGGATCGAAGACCTTTCAAACTGAAGTAAGAAGTGGCGTAGCCTGAAATCCAGGCTACTCAGGAGACTAAGATCAAGGTTTGAAACCAGCCAGGAAAGGTTCAACTCCAAGAGTCTCTTATCTCCAATTAGCTAGCAAAAAAAGCCAGAAGTGGAGCTTTAGTAGAGTGCCAGCCTTGGGCAAAAAAGCTAAGAGACAGCTCCCAGGCCCTGAGGTCAAGTACCAGCACGAGAAGGAAGGGAAAGGTAGAGAAAAGAAAAGAAGGGAAGAGAAAGGAAGAGAAGTGAAGGGAAAGAAAGGAAAGGGAAAGGGAATAGGAAAGGAGGGGAAGGGAGGGAAAAGGAGGGGAGAAAGGGGGAGGGAGAGATAAAGAGAGAGAAAGAAAGGGAGAGAGAGAAAGAAAGAGAAAAAAGAGAAGAAAAGGAAGGAAGAAGGGAAGGAAGGAAGGAAGGAAGGAAGGAAGGGAGGGAGGGAGGGGGGGAGGGAGGGAGAAAGGGAGGGAGGGAGAGAGGGAGGGAGAAAGGGAGGGAGGGAGAGAGGGAGGAAGAAAAGGGAAGGGGAAGGAATGGGGAAGGGAAGGAAAGGGGAATGGAAGGGAAGGGGAACGGGAACAGGAGCGGGAAGGGAGGGAGAAAGAAAGAAAAGAAAAAGAAAGAAAACAAAGAGAAAGATAAAGAGAAGAAAGAGAAAGAAGAAAGAAAAGGAAGAGAGCAAGAAAAAAGGAAGGAAGGAAGAGAGGGAGGGAGGGAGGGATAGAAGGGAAGAGAAAGGGAGGAAGGGAGGGAAAACATGTTGGGGGAAGAAACTGACAAGGTGTACACAAAAGGAGGTAGGAAGGGTGAGCAAATGCAGTCATTATATTCAATGTACGTTATGAAGAAATTGAACTATGTAACTTGAGGTAGGAATGGAAGGGGGAAATAGGAGCAAATAAGAGAAGTGGTAACAATGGTAAAGATGCACTGTACTCATGGCCTGACTTAATGGAATTGTTACCTCTTTGTACAACTACTGAATAATAAAATAAAAATAAAAGAGAAGAAAAAGTAAAAGTAAACTGCATTCCCCTTCCATTCTTTCTCCAAAGAAGCATTTTGTGCCCTCCTCACGCCATGCTTTCTAAAGTTGGACTTCAGGCAAACCCCTGTCCTTCTCTACTCCCTTGAGTCCCTTCTTTTTGCATCCCTAGGGATGCCTACAGTGCTTGCCTACTGCTCTAGAGACTTCATTCCGTGTGATCATTAACTCCACACCAGCTCACGAGATCACCTCTGTAAAGCAGTTACCACCACTGCCTCGTGGCTCCTAACACAATCATGGAAATGAAGGGCCACCTAGTTGCCAACACTTTTTTGTACGTGTGTGCCAGTACTGGGCTTGAACTCAGGGTCAAGGCACTGTCCCTTAGCTTTTTCAATCAAGGCTGGTACTTTACCCTTTGAGCCACGGCCCCACTTCTGTCTTTTTAGTGGTTAATTAGATATCAGACTCTCATGGACTTTCCTGCTCAGGCTGGCTTTGGAAGGTGATCCTTAGATCTCAGCCTACCTGTGAAGCAGATTCCCTGAGTGAGCCATTAGCACCTGGCTCCTAAAGCCAACACTCTCTCGACAGAGCTTGGGATGAAGGTGCCAACATTGTCCGTCCACTTGAAATCAAGAAAACGAAAGGGAATGGGGTAGCTAGGCTAGGAGGGGGTGAAGTGGAGAGATGAGTCAGTACTGGGAGCAAATAACAACCCAGTTTCCCTCCACAACTTCTCCTCACCCCTCCCCCTCTCCCAGCAGGCAGACACTCTGGGAAGTTGTCCCCAGATGCCTCGGCTGTGCCCAGACCCGGTGTGGCCCTCTCCCTGCCTTACCACACTTCGCCCCGCCAGGGGAAGCATACCTGTAACCTAGATTTGAAATTAACTGGGGGGGGGGGGGAGGAGAGAGGGAGGAGGAGGAGGGCATTTCTAGCGCTCGTTTTTATTATCAGTTCTAAACGTTTAGGTCTGTTTTCCTAATTGCCTTTTATTCCCTGGTCTTTTTTTTCCCCCATCTAATTCTAAGGAGAGTTTCTTTCCTTTTATAGTTAGGTCAGAGCTCTCTGCAGACCGGGGTTCAACTCTAGCAGGTGAGGTGCTGTCTTGGGCGGACCTCAGTGGGCTGGTCTGAGGGGGGGGGCGTGTGAACGGAGGTGAGCCGTGGGCACAGCGCCGGGCACACCGCAGTCTGCCCCGGGGCCGCCCTGCCGCGGCAGCCCGGCAGCACCTGCCAGATGCCCTGGGCGTTTTCCTGCGGGGCTCCCCGGGTTGCCCTCCGACCGCGCGAGTCCCAGCCGGCGTGGACACCCGCGTGTGCACACGCGTGCACACACGCACGCACGCATTACCATGGCTGCGGGGTCCGGCTCTGCTGGAAGAAGCAGGGTCCCGAGGGAGGCCGGATGGAGCCTCTCCTCCCCCAGCCTCCTCCTCCCACCGCAGCCCAGACAGTCGGCTGGCGCCGGCACTTACCCGGAGCGGGCG